AACTTTTTTCCACAGAGAATGGTTAGTGTGTGGAATGAACTGCCAGAGGAAATGGTGGATGTAGGTACAGTTACATTTGGAAGGCATTTGGATAAGTTTGTGAGAAATTTGGCCCATATATGAGAAATATGGGCCAAATGGGCCAAACGCAAGCAAGTGGGACGTTTAATTTTGGAACATTTAGTTTGGCGTGGACTAGTTGGACCAAAAGTTGTTTCCAGGCTGTTTTGACTCTATGACTCTAGTTATATTAATGCTGTCTGATCATGCTTATCTAACTGCTCTGTGAAGACATCCTTAGTGATAGATTCCAGCGCTCTCCCAATGGCCAACTTTCTGGCCTCCAGTTCCTTTTTCTTTTTCCATCCTTTCTTGAATAATAGAGTTACATTTGCTAACCTCCAGCCCTGGGACCTTTTCTCGAATCTGAGCAATTTTGGAAAATCATTTACTTCTGTTAGGCTATCAGATCTAGGAATTTGTCAAATATTAATCCCTTAAGCTTCTTGAATATATTTTCTCTGTTGGTATTAATTACTTTAATTTCTTCAGTCTTATTAGCCCTTTGACTTCTTTCCGCTATCAAAACACATGCAAAATATTACATAGAATCATAGAACCCTACAGTGTTGAAGCAAGCCATTCAGCCCTCTGAACAGCATCCCACTCAGACCCACCCCCCTACCTCTACCCATCACCCTGCATTTCCCATGGCTAATCCACCCAACATACACATCCCTGGATACTATGGGCAATATAGCAAGGCAAATCTACCTAAATTGCACATATTTGGACTGTGGGAGGAGACCGGAGCACCTGGAGGAAATACTTGCAGAGAGAGCATATAAACACCATACAGTCACCCAAGACTGGAATGGAACCTGATTCCTGGTATTGTGAGGCAGTAGTGGTAAACACTGAGCCACCATGCCATCCTTTTGTCCAACTTTTTTACTATTTCCTAATTTTTAGTAATAATTTATCCTGTCTTTGCCTCTAATAAGTGAATATCTCCTTCAGCTACTCTCTTCCTTCTCTTGGAAAAGCTTTTAAAATCAATTTTTATATTCCTGGCTCATGCACTGTCTTCTTCTATGTTACCCTTTTAGTAACATTTTGATCACCCTTTGCTGATTCCTAAAATTCCCTGTCCTTAGGCTTACTACTGTTCTTCACAATGTGACTAGCCTCTACTTCTTTCCCAATAAGGAACTGATGTACTTTTCTCATTGAGCTTTTTTTTATTTTTAATGGTACATATTTTTGTTAAACATATTTTGAATAATTTCTTTAAACATTTTGCATTGATTATTTCTGGCCATACATTTCAGTCTTCCTAATCAATCAACCTTGGTTAGCTCTTGCATCATGCCTATTTAATTAGCTTTGGTTAGGTTGAAGAATCTGGTTTGGGATAAGAGTGTGTTACTCTCAAACTTAATATGGCATTTAATTCCAATATGATATTATTTTTCCCAGTACAGCCTTACTGTGCAATACTAGATCTAAAATAACTTTGTCCTTAGTTGGTTTTATAACACATCTGTATTGTTCTGGGTAGTAGTTGCAAAATTCATCTTTCTGTCTACATTTGCCAATTTAGTTTTTCAATTCTATAAGAAGATTAGAAATACCATGATCATTACATTGCATTTGTTGCAATCTCTGATTATTTCTTGTTTAATGCTCTGTTCAGTAGGGTAATGACTGTTGGGGGGCTTCTAAACTGCACATACCAACAATTTCTGACCCTTGTCATTCTTATTTCCCACCACTGAACCAAGTTCCTATTTTATTCTTGTCTTTTTGTCATGCTATATTACCAGGGGTTCTCCTCCTCCTGTTTCCATTCCATGTGTCCATTTAAATAACTGTGCATCTTGCCACATTTTCCAAACCTGGTCACCTTGTAACCAGTTGTTTTAGTAATATTTGTTGAGGGATGAATATTGATTCTCTAGCTGTTATTCAAATAGTAGCATTGGATATTTCACATCCACTGAGAACAAAAACAGTTCCTTGATTTAATAGCTCATCCAAAAGATTACATTTCTGACACCGTGGCTTCCCCTCAAGTACCACTATGTACAAGTAACAGGAGTAATGTATATCACTTGACAATCTGAATCAGAGGTAGAATAATTGTCAACAGTTCAAAGACCTTCTAGAATACTATGAACTTTTCCTAATTCTCCATTGGAGAGTACCATCATAATCTAGTTTTGGACGTATAAGATGTGTTGGCTTAAGGCACCTTCTGTTCCATTTAGAGTTAAGCTCCTTTTAGAGTAGGAAGTATTTTATCTTTATGAATAGAATCAAATCAGTGACGAATCCAGGTAACCAGCAGCAACCAACCACAGGAAACAAATACTAGATGTAAATTTCAATCCAGTACTTCAAATGATGATGCCTACAGTCTTTGTAAAATATAATTCACTTGGCTCTTTCAACAGACACTGGATTTGATTGATTAAATTGGTTTGAGATCACAACAAATGTACTTCGAAGGATGCAATGAAACATATCCCAAACCTTTTCGCTAGAAATTCAGTGCTTCATTTAAATGTAATTATAAAGTTACCTCCAACTCTAAGTGTTTGAATAAATCCCTTTGAGCTTTGTCTTCTGAAATTTTGTTTGGAGTAGAAAGGATTACTGAAGCACTGATAACTAATTGACTTTGACTGCTTGCCAAATGATAAAGAAAACTCAATCTTCTCCAGATGAGCTGACTAATGCAACAGGGAAAACAATGAATGTGAGCTGCTCTTGTGTAAAACTCTGTAGATTTTGCTACTACGTCTTTAGCTGAAGTCATCAATAGCCACATACATTCATTACCCACTACCTAGTCCTGAACTTGGAGATGTACTGTAATGCAGGATCTGTATTGGAAAAGATAATTCCTTTAATTATAATATTTGGTTAAATTTGGAACAGCAGCACACAATGCATGAACATGCCTATCTTTCTCTTTCTTCCCTCTCTGAGTGCAACCAACAAGGTGTCATATTTTGGAAATCAATATGGTCTCTATCTTAATCCCTGACTGAAGGAGAAATGAACATTCAAAAAGATGTTTTGAGATGGTGGCCTTTCATGTTGTGAGAAGTCTAGACTTCCTGCAGCTAAAGGAAGAAGCCAACCAGGTTCCAACCTCCATGGAGGGTTCTGAATCAACCTGTGATGCAATCTGCACACTAGTTTAAGGCCATCTTCCTTCCTATTACCATTGAGCTGGGGAAATGACATTAATGCCTGCAAGAAAGACTCAGCACTCACAGATGATACTGGGACTTGCTGTTGGTAAGATGCACCCACTGGTCCTCTTTCTGTGATGAGAAAGATGAAGTAATATAAACTAGGAACCCATAACTAGGTTCAATTAATAACAATTTTTTTTGGTGTGGAATCATCTGTTGATTTTTAGGGGGCCTGTAATCACTGCTAGGCAGTCAACAATTTGTGGAAAATTTTTGATCATCTATTGAGTTTGTTAAGAAGCAGCAGTTTAGATATAATACATTTTTTAATTAGACAACAAAAGGATATGACTGTGACAATTGGCTATGGTCCACTGATATTAAAGGGCAAACAGACTGTTGGTACAGAAGTTGTTGATCTCACTAAAGTTGTGGGGGCAACAACATGTTCTCCAGATGCAATGTTAGGGAACTCTTCTGTTGGTATTTCTCCTCTTCTTCTGGTCCATCACCATCTGGAGAAGACAGCTCTCTGAAGACCACCTGATGAGGACTGCTCATGTGGAAAGTCTCTTCCCATGAGCACTTGCTGATATCCCATATTTCTAGGGGCAGGTAACCGACATTGTCCGTTAATTGTCTGGATCCTCTTGATCAATGGCCATGAGAAAACTACTCATGACATCAGTCAACACACTGTGGAGCTGGAGGAACACAGCAGATCAGGCAGCATCAGAGGAACAGTTTGTTTATGCTGGCAGGAGGCTAGTCACATTGCTAAATGAGGTTTCATGCTATACAGGGAGCACTGAATATTGAATACTAAGAGCATGCCAATTTCCAAAACAAGGCACAAATATTATTTGAAGTAACAGGTTTGTGCACCATCACCTCCAAGAAACAGCAGTGAGATAAAGACAAGATAATTGTACAGGAATATTGGAGCAGAAGTACACCATTCAACCCTTGTAGCATGCACTGCTAATCTAGATTAATGATGATCATCTATAACAATGTCATATTCCCACACTATCCTCAGACCCCTTGACGTCATTAGTAACTGGAAAACTATCAATCAAACTTTGTCCTGGACTTAATGACTAAGCTTCTACAATCCTCTGGGGCAGAGAATTCCAAAGATTCACCAAGTTGACTTCTGTGTTTGATACATTGCAAAAGTACAAAAGGATAACATCAAGCTGGAGAGGGTTCAGAAGAGATTTACAAGGATGTTGCTGGGAATGGAGGGTTTGAATTATAAGGAGAGGCTGGTTAGGCTGGGACTTTTTTCGCTGGAGTGTAGGTGGTTGGGGGGGTGACATTATAGAGGTTTATTAAACCGTAACAGGTACAGATAAGATGAATGGCAGGTGTCTTTTCCCTAGGGTGGGGTATTTCAAGACTAGGGGGCATATTTTTAAGGTGAGAGGACAAAGATTTACAAAAGACATGAGGGGCAAATTTTTTACACAGAGAGTGATTTGTGTGTGGAATGAACTTCCAGAGGAAGAACTGGATGCGGGTACACTTGCAACGTTTAAAAGACATTTGGGTAGGTACATGAATTAGAAATGTTTGGAGGGATATGGGCCAAACGCAGACAGGTGGGACTAGTTTAGTCTGGGATTATTGCCAGCATGGACTGGTTGTTTCCATGGTCCATGACTCTATTTAAAAAGAGAATTACTTCATCAACTTTGGGATTTCCCAATATCATGAAATATGCAAAATAAAGGCGCACCTTTGTTTTTTATTCAGGATTGTTAAAAGCTAATGTGCAATTTTTATTGTCAGGAATTTCAGGATGGTAGCAGTGATGAGAGAGGCTGATGAAGAAAGTCAAAAGCAATGGAGAATGCCACACCTGAACCAATGTACGTTGATGTGGACAAAGGTTTGACATTGGCCTGCTTTGTTCTCCTGTGCCTCTTCCTGATTATGATGATTATCCGCTGTGCCAAAGTGATCATGGACCCATACAGTGCCATCCCCACATCGACCTGGGAGGAGCAGCATCTGGATGACTGAATGCAACATGGGCACAGGGGGCAAGTTTAAGAGATTCCTCATGCTGCCATTAGATAAAGATGCCCAGTTTAACACGTCTGCTTGAGCAGACAGGACTCATTACAAATATTGAACCTAATCGTCAAATCCTGTGAAAGTGTTTACTGGAAGTTGCATGTGTATAAGTGCCTCGGCAAAGATTATGTTTGTCTTAAATGACCTTTTATGTTTATATTGTACAGTTGCACTGGATCAATAGAACTGTATATCTTACACATATCAACAGTAGTCTTAGGGTAGCACAGGATAAATATGAATCAATTATCTGCTGTTAAATATAAAGACATATGACAAAGCCTCGGCCTATGCCTGCTAAATCCTATGTCATAAAATCCCTAATTCTCTATAAGCAATATATAGCAATGGTATCAGTTTGAAAGGCATTGTGAAAATCTCTGTTTTCTGAAAATTGTTTACAATTGCTGGTGCTTTCCTTGACTTATAACCTTGCAACCTCTCATTACGGCTTTATTTGCTAATGTCCTTTAAAAATAACTCAAAGTTTGTGTTTACACCAGATGACTTTTTGATTGACCCGTTCCACAATGGGGTACCCAGTGTATTCTCACAGTTTGGCTCCGTTAAATGGACCAGTGATGGTATGATTATTGTTTGTTCACACCCTGGACCAAATCACTTCAACTGAGAGTAATACACATCTATGTACTAACTGTCAGCTATGCATTCTTGGCCTTAATGTTAGATCTGCAAGGTTTCTGCCTCCTGACCCCAATAGCAGCTTATAGCCAATGGTGAAACTGTAAGGAGGAGGAGCTAATGGCTATATCCATATATAACAAACTTAAAAATAAAGTCCCATTTTTAAAAACCTCAACATGGTTCACTTATTTCAGTCAGAAATACTGACTGCATTTCTTTGGGTGTCCAATGATTCCACTGGACTTGTTCTTTTCATTTTTCATCTATTTTTAATGACCTTGTTCTTCAGGATGGATGTAAAGCATAGAGAATCTAGTCCTCATTCCCCCCCAAAGGGGAAACATCCTCTCTGTGTCCACCCAGTCAAATCCCCTCTGCATCTTATATGTTTCAATAAGATCACCTCTCATCCTTCCATACAGCACAATGGGCAAAGACCAAATTGTCCAACCCTTCATCATAAGATAGCACTGTCCGTTAGAGACCAGACCAGCCTTCCCCAAAATATTTTATCGAGATAGCCTAGACCCTAGCTTTTATTTTGTTTTGAAGGCAAGGGTAAGGTGCTACGTCCGAGATATGATTTGACTGGTTCTCCACTAAGTTTAAATCAAAACACACTTTATTCTTACAATGCAATTAAAATACAACAAAGCAAAGAATCTGTATAACTACTTTATTCACATACTTAAGAGGGCAATGTATTATTTAACCACTTAATCATCAACTGTTCCAATATAGACAGCATCCCACAAACACACCCTATGGCAAAAATGCAATGCAGCAATACAATTATGATTCTCATGTGCTTCCTCTGTCCAGCTCAGTAGAAAGAAACACTGAAATAAACAATCTGCTCCTTCTGATTTCTAAGAGGAAAGTACCCTGTCTGATCTTCAGTCTAGCAGCAGAGAGAACTCTAGCTATCCGCTCCAGCAGCTAACAAAAATACCCACTGAAAGCAAAACCAATGTCCTCAGGGTCTGTCTGATCCTAGCCCTGCCCACTCATGACTCTTTTGTCTCATTCTGAAAAAAAAGCACCCAGGGAGAAACCCAAAGCTATTTACAAACTGCCTGATGGGCAGACACCTCAGCACCGCTCTGACAAAACCCCTCTGCAAGAGAAACAGGATAGAACACATCTCTTAAGGGCACAGTATTGTCACACCTCGATATCCCACATTTCTATAGGCAGCCCCCATTCAAATGGTAGGTGTTGTTTTCAGCTCCTCTGCCCTTTTCACAATGAGGGAGAAGCTCTCCATCATTGGAAAAATAAAGCACTAATGTTTTATAAATATATAATGAAGAAAAGGAAAGAATAATGCCAATTAGAAACCAAAAAGGCAACTTTTGTGTGAAAGCAGAAGACATAAGCATGGTTCTGAATGAATACTTTAAATCTGTTTCTCATAAAACGGTGGGACAAAGCAGACATTCTAGTTAAAGAGGAGGAGTATGTGAGAGAAAATATTAAGGAAACTAGTATCTTTGAAAGTGGATAATGAATGAAACATATCCAAGGCTACATCCACAATGCTGTTAGGAAGGGAGTTGCAGATTTTTGACCCACTGACAGTTAAAGAAGAGTGATATAGTTCTAAATAAGAATGGGAAGTGACTTAAATGAAGGCAATATATTGTGGATGATGGAAATCTGAAGCAAACACAGAGAATACTGGAGAAACTCAGCAGATCTGGTAACACCTGAAGAGTCATATTGGATTCAAGTTGTTAACTGTTTCCTTCTCCCCAGATGCTGCCAGACCCACTGAATTTCTCCAACATCCACTGTGTTTGTTTATTTTCTATCTGTGTCCTCTGCGGTTTTGGAAGGAATTGTCAAACAGGCCTTGGTGAATTGGAATCATAGCTAGTACAAAATATGACTGTGGTTATTGTCTGCCAGCCATCTCATACTCAAGGCAATACTGCAGGACTTCCTCAGGATCTGTATTTTTCATCAGTCTGTTCAGCCACATGTTTAGAGCAAATGAGACTTAATCTTGGACCTTTTGATCCAGAGGTGGGGTTTTACCATTGTGTCACTACAGCTCTACTTCCTCAGGATAGTTAATTTTAAACAGCCTGTTCAGAGGTATCATGGCATGCCTCTTCAGTTGATGGGGCTTGAACACAGGCCTCCTGGCTCAGAGATAGTGTCATTACCATTGCACTGCAACACCCTTAGTTCCTCACCATAGCTATTTTATCATCAAACTGTTCAGAGAGAAATGGTATTACGCACCTCTGGAGCAGGTATGACTTGAACACAGATCTCCTGGCTCAGAGGGAGAGACACTACCACTGAGTCACAAGTGTATTACTTCCTCAGGATCATATTGCAGGCCCAACCATCTTCGGCTGCTTTATCAATGGTCTTCTCTCCATCATCAAGCCAAAAGTGGAGATGTTCAGTGTTGATTGCACAATGACCATTTGTGACTCTGCAGATATCAATCACACTTAGGACAGTACAGAGCAGAATTTGGAGAATATTACCAGGAAAGGAGGAGACATTTAGTTGTGAGGAAAGACAGCAATTATCTTCTTTATTACAAAGAGGCAGAGGATACATTCAACTGAAGCATATAATTGAACTATAAACGATACTTGAAGAGGATAGATCGAGTGCATGAGAGAGTTAACAGAGGGGCCAATTACAAGGGAGTATAGAACTATGGTGATTGGCAGAAGGATTAGAGGGGCATTGGTGAGTATATTTTTCTGCCAAAGGGAGTTGGGATCTGGGACTCACTGCATGAAAGGGCATTGGAGGCAGAAACCTCAACTCGTTCCAAAATACCAGGATATATATTTGAAATGTTTAACCTACAGGGCTAAGGGCCAAGAGTTGGTAAGTAGGTAATGTCTATTAACAGTCACAATAGCCCAAAGAGCCACCTTCCGTGCTGCGAATGTTCTGTGCTTCTATGGAAACTCTATCCTCTTGTCTAACCTCAAACCTTCAGGGATGTTCAATTCCAAATTACACTTAAAAACTATCTCAGCTGTGCTGCCCCAAAACAAAAATCACTGAAGGCAGTCAGAATAAAGCCTGAAAAAAAAGGCAAGATTTCCCCAGGTTAGGGAGTCTGTAATGATTTGAAATAACTATGTGATGAAAGATGTGAGGAAGAAAATCTTCTTCTACAGCAGATTGTTGGTGCATTGAAATATAGAAAAGCTGCAGTAAGGCCGAATCTGATAAAAAGACTACTGGGTGAATATTTTAAGCAGAAGAAATACAGGGCATGGGGAGAGTGTGCAACTGATACAATGGGCTGTAAGCTGCCTATGGATCTATGGTTTACATTTATGTTCCATTTCATTACTTGTAGATTGTAGATTGAGGGGGCCAAAAGTTTGGAATAATTGTTTATCCCTCAAAGTGTCTTTGAGATAGAATACTTACAGTGCAGAAAGAGGCCATTCAGCCTGCACTGACCCTCCAAAGAGCACACAAATCACCACAGCCATGGCTAATCCATGGTGGCTCAGTGGTTGGCACTGCTGCCTCACAGCACCAGGGACCCAGGTTTGATTCCACCCTCAGGTGATCGTCTGTGTGGAGTTTGCATGTTCTCCTATGTCTGCATGGGTTTCCTCTGGGTGCTGTGGTTTCCTCCCGCAGTCCAAAGATGAGCAGGCTAGGTGGATTGGCCATGCTAAATTGCCCGTATTGTTCAAGAATGTGTAGATTAGGTGGGTTACAGGGTCTGGTGTGGGATGTTCTGAGGATCGGTGTGGACCTGTTGGGCCGAAGGGCTTGTTTCCACACTGTAGGGATTCTATGAACCTGTACATCTTTAGACTGTTGGGGGAAACCCACACAGACAGAAAGATGCCCTTGATGTAGGGCAGTGTGGTCAGTGTGTTAGGGTGTACTGTGTCCTCCTGTTGTTGCCTGTTTAGTAGGTGCCTGCAGATTAAGTTGCGGGGATAACCGTTCATAGTGAATTTGTCTGCTGGTAGGATTATGAAGTTCTTTTCTTTCTTGAGATTATCCAGTGCTTTTCTCTCTGATGTGATCAGGGTGTCCCCTTTGTTCCTTCTGTGTAGTGTGGGGATTATAGTTTGTCAGGTGGCTTGTTGTGTTTCAGTGAGTCTGTTGTCTTTTAATGTTGATGTTGAATTTCATCCATAAACAGACAACAACAGGAGGACACAGTACACCCTAACACACTAACCACATTGCCCTACATCAAGAACATATCGGAACTGACAGCAATACTCCTAAGACCACTAGGAATCATGGTGGCACACAAACCCACAGCCACTCTACGACAAATAGTTGCAAAGATTAAAGACCCCATTCCCACAACATGCAGAACCAACGTAGTTTACAAAATACCATGCAATGACTGCCACAAACATTACATCAGACAGACAGGAAGGAAACTAGCCATCAGAATACATGAACATCAGCTAGCAGCAAAACGGCACAACAAACTTTCCTTAATGTCAGTGCACTTGGACAATGAAGGCCATCAGTTTAGCTGGGACAACGTAACCAAAGTAGCCCAAGCCAAACATAGATACGCTCAGGAATTCCGAGAGGCATGTTTCTCCACCCGTAATGCAATCAACAAACACATAGAATTGGACCCCATATACAGACCCATACAGATCAAAACCGGAAATGACACTAGTCACTATAACGGACTGGACAGTATAAATTCCAAGCAGAGTAGAACAACATCGCTTCTTCAGAGGGTCCACTGATGATGTTACCTAGCATGGTGTTGAAACCTCTGAACAAGGACAAGCCAGCTCGGCGAGCAAGTCAACAACCTCACCCACAACCCGAGCTACAAATCTTTGCTAAAATTTTAAATTAGACAAAACCTTTCAGTGGTGAGGTCAAGAAGATTTTCTTCATGTAATACAGTCACGGACACTTGGAGCCCTTTCATCCCAAGTGGTTTCCAAAAACCAGTCGCAGCTTTGAGGATTGGGATTGATAGATTTTTGGGAATGGTGCAAAAGCAGGTCAATGAGGTTGATCTACATGATCTGATTGAATCGAAAAGCAGGTTTCAAAGGCTGAGTGTCCCTCCTGCTGTTCCATAGAAAGAAAAATAAAACGCAATATTCACAGTTGTCTTGGATTTTGGGATCCACAGGTGCCACTCAACATTGCTGC